CTACGTAGTACTATTAATAGTACGAATTATTTATATGGATTTCAAATATCCGTGATAGTATTCCACCATTAATATTAGTAATTAGTATAGATGAGAGTAACAGTAAATTAGGATAATGCTAGGTCATTGTATACAGACCTCGTCCGAGAGCGGCACGGCCTACGGCCTACCTGCCGCTACCTGACAAGAAGAAAAGATAGATCATTCGGTGAAGTGAGAAGCTTAGATCCGCACTGTCGTACGGCCACGCTTGCGCAGACGGCCTCCCGAGCGCTCGGGGCCAACGTAAGGCTTGGTCACTACTTTAGGTTTCATCCCACAACTTATCCAAAATGTCATCCACGCTTTTAATTCAACAATTATATTATATTAACCATAGTATCCAAGGTTGGTATTAATATTCAATGCTGTCCCGAAAGTCGTAAGTACCGGTATTACCACATCGCAGGCACTGATGGGATGAGACGCGGCGTCATTCACGGAATCTCGCCGCAACATATGATTGGCTTAGCAATTCCACAGAACAAACAAACAAATTGTAGCCAACCAGCGTGACACTTAACTTGAAGTTAAAAGCTCACGCCCGTTGTCAATTCTCGTGAGTTCATTTCTCAATATCGGACGTCGATGGCAAGCAACCGACGTGTGTGGGTTACTCTGGTTGATGGCAAAGGTGACCAGCTGATGTCGCCAGGCAAAGTGAGCGTCTCCCCCGACAGCGACGTCGACGATCTCAAACAAGCTGTGAAGGCCATGTACCACGACAGCATCTTGGAGAGAATCCCCCCACCTGCCCTTTCTGTCTACGCCGACCAGGCCGCGTTTGCCCGCAATGATGCTCCTCTTGCTGCCGATGCAAGGGTTGAAGGTTATGGCGAACATTTGGCAAATGCCATCTTGGTGGTTGCTCCGTTCACATCAAACAAGCGCCAACGTGGAGACGACGTCGAAACACAAGGAGCTCTGGAAAGCCCTGTATCAGTGTTAAGCAACAAGGCTTGGCAAGCGTTCGTCTCAACTGCAAAGCCGACGTTGTCTGGTAAGCATCCCCTTGATTTTCTGCAATTCTAACAAAACATGATAGACTCCAACTTCTTTCACGCGCTTTGCACCGCTCCCATCAATCCAGTCGACAGAATCGAGGACCTTCCAATCGCTGAACCTGTTCCAGGCTGTATCACCACGTTCACGGATCCGATTACGCAGGTCCAGGTGGTCTGCTTGCCGCACCGTTTGCCACGATCCACTCTGATTTTCAGCCACGTAGTTTTCATCCGGCCTTTCACTGTCGCGATGGTCAAAGCAATGACCACATGCATGGAACCCCGCATTGCTGTGGTTGGCAATACTGGCATTGGCAAGTCGTTCATGCAGCTTGTGATCCTATTGTGGTGGGCGCGTCCAGAGCTACGTCCAGTGCCTGAAAACGTCGACGACGGGGCCGCTTTGGACAAGTTTTTGGATGGCATTCAAGCAATCGCTCGCGTGGAGCGGGGCTCTTGTACGGATTTGTTCTTCAAGCGCGAACAACTTCATTACGTAGTCGACAAGGTCCATCAAACACTCTTGGACCGTTTGGATTCCACGTCGACCTTGCTCCTGTACGAACCGTGTGTTTCGAAGGATGAGATTGAGATCTGTGGCATCGCGGATGGTCACGTGTGGGCTACAGTGTCGCCGTTGGAGCAACGGTACAAGGAGTTTTCCAAAACCAGAGCCGCCGTGAAGTACATGGAATGCCCTTACGAAGACGAGCTGGTGTTCATGGCGGCCGTGATGGTGATTGGAGTGGAGCCGGAGTTGAAGCCACTGTACGAGGAGTCACTTGTCCGTGAACGGATCCGAACGCGTGGTCCCTTCCTGCGGGTTGTGTTGCCTGAGAGCGTGGGTGTTTTGAAGGCTGAAGGTAAAGTGGGACGGAGTGAATTGTCTGAGTTGACCTTGGAGAAACTCCAAAACACATGGTTCATCACCGAGGAGAGAAGTGTTGGTATGATGGAAATCAGTGATCGTATCCTCCGCATTTCACCCGAGTTGGACGGCGTGTTTGAGTCGTATACCCTGAAGCCGGCGAACGATCTTGTGACTGAACGTTTGGGCAATTTGATGTTCGACGTCGACGTGCGGGAACTCAAGAGGCAACTCATCGCGTACGTTGAGGCGTTGGGACATTCAACAGCATAAAGAAGAACATTGGTATTCCGGATGGAGTCAAGCTGGTAATCAAGTACATCACTTGCCCTTCCAGGCCGACCGATATGCGAATGGACCGACCCCGAAGTTACTTCGTCTCGAACGTTCACGACGACGCGAGCATTACGAAAATCCAGCAAACTGTCGAGTTCCGTGTCATCAAAATGTCCTGCGTTAGATTTCATGATTATTTCTACTTCGACGTATTCGTTTTTTATTGCTCAAGCAAACTCAAAATGAACTGGATACTATTAATAGTTACTGCCGTAGTTAGTACGTTGAATAGCTGTCGATTTCAACATACCTCCGAAGTTGGCAAATTGGGTGTCATTGATATTAACTACTGTAGCTACCACATCAACTGAGCTTGGAACCCACGCATACCCGCCGCGAACGCGTCAAGTTGGTGCAAATTGTGCGCTGGAATAATAGTCCCAACGTCGCTTTCGCCAGTGGTTTCCAAAGTGGAAAGTCCTAGCTTTTCCAGAGCTACCGCAGTTTCCCATAGGAACCTGGCAGTATCAACCTCCCCTCGGTAGAGTGCGCACACGGCCAAGTTATTTAGCACCGCTGGGTGGGGAGGCATCTCGTTGGATAGCGCAGAGTACATGGAACACCCGTCGGTGACGCGGTCTAACCATTTACAGTAACTTCAGCTGGGGGTAAATATAATAATAATTGTAATAATACTGTCAGCGTACTTAGAAACATGCGCTGCTTGGCTTGAAACAATGTGGCTTTGAATCCTAATGTAGGACCAAACCAAATGGATTCCACCATGAGCGGCACCGCATCGGCATTGCGGCCATGGTGGAGGTAATATTCGGCGAGTTGGTCCAACAATCTCCAGTCGGATGGGTCTTGTCTAAGTGGATCGTTAAAACTGTGTAGGATAGAACTAGTGTAGATAAGGTACATATACCGGTACTAGGTACCCAAGAACTCCAGTATACATAAGGTACATGTACTGAAGTGCTAGTAAGCCGTTAACTCCAGATTAAGTACTGTTCATATACTATTACTAGTATTGTCAAGTCGATAGCGGGGAGCACCAAATCGGCAGACAATCGATCGACCAATCAAAAACGACAACACGAAGCAAGTGGCCAATCAAGGCAACTCTTCAACCAATTCAACATCGACTAGTGTGTGATTGAAATTAGTGTGATACTGGACGATCTTTACATCGATGGATAGATTTGGCGCGAATCAGCTCAAAAGACCAAGTATAGGGTAAAAGGACAATAATAGTAAGAATTTACTTCGTACTAGTTAAGCTACTATTAATAGTAAGCCATGAACTCCAGTGTAGATAAGGTACAATACATATACTAGTAAGCCATGACTCCAGTGTTGCCTGAAAAGTACTGTACATATACTAGAATGCTATGAACGTCAATCTACACAGTATACGTATAGCCAATGTATTGTACTGTGGATATCGGTACAAAAAGGCCCCATGAAATCGAATCTCGCAAGCATAAATCGACTCTGTTTGTTGGCTAATCCAACTTTGAGAGTGTTTGATTGAAAGGACAATCATATTCAACCAATCAGAATTTCCAGCGTAACTCAATGTCGATTAGAAAACCACCCGAATTCTGGAGATTTACAGCGAATTCACAATATTACATCGAGGTTTGGTTTTTCAAAATCCAAGCCTATTGTCGGCCACATATCCACTCAAATGACTACCACTCAATATCCTCTTGTATACGACCATATACAAGATACGACACGGATACAAATAATGCCAACAATCTCAAACCTAAATCTCCTTGTAGCTCATACAGTACTATTAATACTAGTACATATGTACGCAACCTACAGTAGTCAAACTCAAATCTATCGTAGCACAAAAATGTCTCCAAATGATAAAAACCTCGTATAGCCCATATATATATAATATATATATGTATATATATGTATATACATGTATGTACAGTACATTAGATATATATTACTATTGCATACATACATACATGTATGTAGAGTACATGAGATACACTTCGAAGTATATATGTAAAATATATATGTATGTACAGTACATGAGATATACATATATATATATATATACTGTACATAAGACTATGGAGCCACAGCGCCTCTTCGGACCGCCACGCTTGCAGTTGATTGGTGGAGAGGCTACCCCACAACCCAAACACAGTCAAAGCCACAACCGTAGCCCATCTTTGTCCAACGCGATGCAACAGCAGGGCTTGCAGTGGTATGAACACCAACGTGGCAAAGTATGAATATCGATCTGCAGTTAGAGACACCATCCCGTGTTGAACGAGCCCAGATACTGGCACCACCATCGTCAGCATGTACAGGGTAGAGGCCAGCAAGGTCCAGTTGGAAGCTGGGGTTGTTGCCAAGCCAGTGGTAAGTCCTAGGGGAAACCGCGATTTTCAAAACATGAAGTCGATACCTACTCGTACGACACGCACAGTGTAGGGACTTTGTGGTCTTTTCGAGCGATTGCATCATATACCAACAGATGCAATCATCATGCCTTGATGGCTATAGTTATAAAGTTGGTAGAATATTGGCGTTAACTTACCTGCGACCAAAGTTACGAGAACAATCAACACGGAGAATACAACGTTCGGGTTCGTGGGCAAGGTTAATGCTGTCGGATCGGGAATTTGATAATGGGGCCGAAGGTTCACGGGCCATAACCACGCTTGAATAGGCCACACAGTGACGATAAATACCTTTGCCAGTCGCTCTACTTTACTCTGTAAGATGATTTGCATATCTCCACCACGGGGATGTTGTGGCTTGCCCCAATCCATTGTTTACTGAAGAGTACGTATATAAATTGCAATACACAGTAGCGTATAAAGCCGACGTACGGGGAATGGTAAGCGAAATGGTATCGACGTCAGTTCCAGCACCACGTTGGTTTGCGACGTAGGTCGTGGCGACTAAGGCCATGGACAATACCAAACATACACTCATCTTGCGGAAGTACCTGTATATATAAAAATAATAGTTATGCGAGGTATAAATATATATTTTAAAAACAATCGAGCATACGGCAAGAGATTCTTTGGAGGACAAAGCTGTAGATGGCCTCGGACGACATCAAGTAGGACGAGGCCCACGGGTGTGAAGAGGGCGATGCTTTTGCTCAGGACGGCGCACATATACGCCACTAGATGGGATTGAAAATGTCAAGAACGAAATAATTACGTGCGCACCAGTGCCAACCATCGACCATGGCTTGTGGAGATGGGAGAGGAACATGATGGATGTAAATAGCATGGCCAATGGATATGGCTGGGCAGATGGCCACATGAGGACTTCGATGTGCACCGGATGGATGGCAAAGAGGACGGCGGAGAGGCTGGCCGCAATGGTGACGGACGCGCGATCAGCAAAAGACGGAGCGAGGAGCCGGTGGGTAGCACATCCCAAGATCCCGCATGCCGTCCAATGCACAAGTACCGACACCATACGAACGTACTTGGATTGCATCCCCACAAGTCCATGTACGAAAGCTTTGAGCAGCCACGACAAGGGCTCGTACACGTTGATCTTGACCGTCGTTGCCATGGCGACGATGTTGGGCAGCGTCAGCGCTTGGATCATGGGATTCTCGACAAAGTTGGCGCCATCGTCAAACGAGTAGATGAATTCCCAGTCGCCATAGCACAGCGGTGCCACATGGATTGCCAAGCCAATGCCAGCGAGAACGCCCGGTAGCCATCGCCTACTCCTGTTCAGAAGACCCAGCATTTCATGTTGCGATCTTTAGGTCATATCCGGATACTATGGCCATTTATGCGGGAAATTCGTATGATTGGCTTTTAAATTGACCAATCCGCAGCACCCAACCGACCGTTTCAAAAAATGATTGACAAGCAACCAAAGGTCGTGACTTGAACTGTGATGTTCGCGCGAGTAAAGATATCAACATAAATGAAGCTAGACGTGTAGATACCCAAGTTGAGGAAATTCTAAGTTCGTACTACATTTAGTGAATTGTGATGCTGGCCACGGCAAGCAATGATACTGTATCAACATACCGTATACCTAGTAACCGTTAGTGTATATGTATTGCGACAGGTGATATATCACAACCAACCGGCACTCGTTCTCGTACTCCTGTAATAACTGATAATTTTCTTGTAATAACTGACATTTACTTGTGAACATGTTGAATATACAAATTTGAAGCATATTCAACATGTTCACAAGTAAATGTCAGTTATTACAAGAAAATTATCAGTTAACGTGATCGACCAGTGATAGGCCGATATTTTTCTTTTTTCTTTCGTGAATTCCTCATGAAGTATTTATCCTATAGCGATGTGTTGGACGTAATCTGAAAGAGCACGTCAAGATCTGTCACATACACCTAAACACAATGGATTTAGACAGTTCGCGATGACGTAAATAATTTCGCAAGTTGCAAAATTTACATTGACGACCAGTGATGGGCCGAATTTTATACTTGAATTAAGTATGGATTAGGGTTGTGTAAAAAACAGGCGAGCAGACTGGAATTTATAAAATGATAAAGGAATATCACAACCAGCCGGCACTCATTCTCAAAATTTTGTCCATTGCGTCATACAAATTTGAAGTATATTCAACATGTTCACAAGTAAATGTCAGTTATTACAAGAAAATTATCAGTTATTACAGGAGTCGCAATATATATACACTATACGGTATAACGAAGATAGAAGTGTTGATACCCATGTCGAGCAAATTCTCGCAACTCGGTGCCTCCTTTCTAGCAAGCATGGTTGCGTTGGAGTCATTTGGTTCAAACTTCCGCTTTATTTAAATATGTGACTACTCACACTCAAATGGATCAACTTTTGTGGGGTCTTACTCGAACGTCTGATCGACTCCTTGCAAACCTAAACTGTTCTCAAAACTGAACAATCCAATTTACTGCTACGATTTATCACCCTATGCGACCAGGAGAAATTATTTCTTCTAACTTGACACGATACAGAATAAAGCATTCGTTCAGCCAGTCGGAATGAATAGTTTATTGACAGTGACTAATTCAAAAATACTAGTAACCCCTGAATATCGATGAATATCGAGTCTTCGCAGAGTGAATTGTATATTTATTTCTTAAGGCACATCTAAAGTTGTCTGTCCTTGGCGTCCAGCGAATAACTAATTATTGGTCCATTCAGAATAAAGTAATCTATTTGAATAAATAAATAATTCTTGTCGAGAATCTATTTTCCTCTTCCTCTGGTTGGTAGTACAACGTTAGGAATCAATCGTGGCCACGTCCACTCTCGACGCAATCTCCTCTACAATCCGGAACATTTTCATCACATACTTCTATCATGGGGTACTTTTGCGAAGTACTCGAAAACATTTTCACCATGTGACCTTAAGTCCGTTTTACGATTGGCCGTATGGTTGAACAGAGTGCAGCTGCACTTTATACTTTGTATTTCATCGGTTTAATTGGGCTTATGTTAACTTTATACTCTTGGAGCGCCTTCCAGTTCCTTTGGAGGGAGACTCGTGACTGAATTTGGTGATACAGGTCCGAACGAGCTTATCGCTGCGTCCGAGGGCTTTTGCGATCCACCGAAGAGACTTCCCGACCTCCAAGTAGGCCTTTATCTGGCCACGTTCAGAAGTCATCTCCGAAATCTCCCTAATAGGGAGATTTCGGAGATGCCTTCTCTTTTTCTTTTTCCATAAGAATTGACAGCAAAGTAAAAGCAAGGGATTTTTTTATCGACGATTTCGGTGATAACAATTTTTCCCTATCCGTAGACTAGATGGAGCCAAATTCGTGGACTTCCTGGATGATCGGCGAGGTGATTGTGAAGTCGTCCCATGGGTCATTCGCCGTTGAAGCTTTGGGGCTAGTAGGGACGACAGAGGCATACGAAGCATTGAATTGATTGAAACTCGTGTTGTGTTAGTTCAGTTGTTCTATCTGTAGGCCGTTCGGAAAGGCGTACCTACATACACCACACAAGGCAAGGAGTGGCTTTCATCTAAAGTAGCACGCCTCGGCAACTGGCACCAAAGCGCCAGCTGCAGAGGAGTGCTTTTATACTAGTACTTATCTGGTGCTTTTAAGATATCGTTGATAGCCACAGGTACAACTCCGGCCGGATCTACTGCTAGGCGCGGCCGACTAAGCTGAGGCGTCGGGTGCCACCTAATTTGCTTTTCGTAGTTTCTACAAGTGTTACATGTAAGCGTGCGCAGAGGAAGACGCAGGAGATGGTAGAATCAAGAATGAATTGATAGCGTTAAAACTACTACTCTATCACTAAGCTACGCGCAACCAACCATTGATGTATCGTCGGGGGAACGCCTTGGTTGCGCAAGAGGACTTGTTGGTGTGCGAAGAGACACCTTGGACTGAAGAGACACCTTGGACTGAAGAGGTGTCGACTAGTCATCCGGTTAGTAACCAGATGATTGGCACGGTTACACCCTCCATATATTAATTTATATTATTATTTATAAGACAATATTTATAAATAAAATTGTTTTAGTAGAATGAATAAATATTTTTTTAATTTGTTTTA